TTATTATTATTATTATTATTATTATTATTATTATTATTATTATTATTTACCTATGTTTGTTCAGTCCTTGTTTGACCATGACAACATTTTATTCTAGGAGTACATGAAAAATAATAAAAGTTGATTAGTATTTGATGTCAAGCCTACAAAACTATCTCACGAACACTATCTGAAACTTGCGTCTTTGAGAAATATTAAATAATTTGTATAATCCTTCAGGTTATGTGTATCAAGTTTTCAGCTAATAACTCTTTTTTTTTTGCTACATTCAAATATTATGTCCCTCAAACTGTGTTGGTTTTGATATTTTTCATGAATTCCACTAAATAAATGTGAACAAACTGTGTTTTTGTGACACAATGATAAAGTAATAGCTGAAAATCTCATTTAAAATGAGTTCTTAGATAAACTGTGTGTTTCATGTTGACAAAATGTTGTTATTCTTTGAGTTCAGGAGCAGTTTTATGTCTGAATATGTCGGAGTTTTGTCGAATGGAATAAGCAACCATAGTCCAACAAAAAGCACCTTCAGAAGTCTGGAGCCCTTCAGGAAATACAAGAAAGTGTGTCCATTGGAAGCAAAGTAGAAAAGAGTAAATATTATTTAGAATTTTTTTCACACTAACATTTAGCTTTTGCAAATCTAGTAGTTTTTTAAAACTGTGTTTGTCAACATGCTGAAAATAAAATGGTTTTCAAATATTTTTCTCAATGCTTTATTATAATATTTTACTCATATTTGCGGTATTTTTATTTATTATTTTACCACAGTGGTACCCGAGGACAAACCAGGTTAAATGACTAATCAGAACTACTTTTCGAGTCTATTTCTAATAAGAAAAAACGTTAATTTTGAAGTCTCTGAATTGTCTACTAATATGAAGAAACTAAGAGTAAAAAACAACTTTTAAACTGTTAAAATATTTATTTCTTTATAGCTTGTTTATAATGATTTACCTCTTCCCATTATTACTTTCAAATTCTTTAACGTGTTTCTGTTCCGGAGCAGTCATTAACCTGATTCATTTATTTGTTTAGGATGACTTTTTGACTATTCTGTTGCCTCTAATTCAAAATGAACATTCACATTTGGAAAATAATTCTCTAACGGTCTCGTTTATGTTGTTTTAAGACAAGCACCAATGTTGTAAAACCATCTTGTAAAAAAATAAAATGCAGTGACATGTAACAGACTTTCCTTTCTGAATGGACACATCCTGGTGTGTAAAACAACACATGCTCACAAACAACAAACACATGAAATTCTTTTACACGTTTCCAGCACGCCAGAGTAAGTCCAGCCGTTCTAACCGGCATTATTTCAGTGCACGTCACTCATTTGAGCTCTGCGGGCTTTGCAAAGCCTAGAGCAGAGCAGGAACATCTGCACAAAAATCCAAAGAAACAAAACCAAAACTTAAGGGCATGCATGTTTAGATGCCTGTCAGATGGTTAGCTTCTGCATCTGACATGCACAGCTTGTAATCTGTGATGCCAGGGGGATTTCTGAAGGTACCCCTGAAAGAAAACATGGCAGTGTTAAAGATGGATACAACATGGTGGATAATGGAAAGATAAAGTCACATTTCGGTTAATTAGTTACAACAACATGAAAGGGACTCAAAGTCAGGGTAAAAAAAAGGAACATAAGTCTTGACAGCAGGGTCTGAAGCTGCATTCATTTAGGGTTTTTAACCTCCATCATGTGGTGTCTTTCACCTAAACAGCTGGAGGAGGGAGAGGCAGCACATCCAACAAATTGATTTCTATTCCCAGGATAAATATGCAGCTAAAAGCAACTTCAGTCCCTGCAGTTTTCATGCACATGGGTTTGTTTATTAGAGGAGAAATGGCAGTACGGTGGTCGGACCAGCAGGTGGCAGTCTTCTCTTCATTTTACCTCTACCGCCCACACACTGCATGTAAGAGAATGGTTCTTACAGGTGATGTGAATTCTCCTGAAGCCCCTTTGATCCCTGCAGACCGTGTGATGCACGAAGCTGCATGTTGATAAGATGTTGGGAGGAAAGTGTGATGGGCTTCCTGGCATCTCTGATGTCTGTCTGTGCTTCTTAGTTGGTTTCATGAATGCAGATTTTGACCTAGATTTTAAGCATGTTTTATATTCCAAAGGATTTCTCTCAGCAACATCAGGTCCTGGAGGATCGAGGATGTGACTCGATGAAGTCCAGAGGAGATGAGATTGATTGAACAGCAGGTTCAGTTCACTTTTTTTTTCATTTATTCTTTGAGTATTTTATAGCTGAACAAAAGTGACTAAATAAAACATGCGTCTAACTCAAAGTAATTTGAAGTTCATAAACGGTTGAATCCTAAATTTTATGCAATTTTCTGATTTTTTTTTTCCTCCCCACATCTCTTTAAGTTATATTTTAATTTTCCATCTATTAGAACACTAGATTGTTTGTTGTTTAATATGAAGTTGGCCTGGAATTAACATGATAAACTTGGTGGTATATGTCAGTTATGTCTTGCTGACTCAGAAAAAAAATGCGCTTCAGGGTTTTCCAGTATACTGAGCAGAAATCCTAAATATTGATTTAGATTACTTTTACAAATAAGTATTTAAAAAGCTTCTTGTTTTTAAGCTGAGGCGTTCTGTCAGGTTCTTGGTCCAAATATTTTCATGCGTGCACCAAAAAGCTAATGGAGGACACGTGAAACCAGAAAGCTTTATAAAGGAAGAAGTTGCACAGATGAGCTGAAATAGAGATTAACTTGCAAACAGCTGCATCCACCAAATTTATGATATGACATCATCAACTGACCCAAAACTTTTTGGCTGTTTGATCTTCAGAGGTTTTCTTTTTCTTTTTAAAAATGTCCTTGGACCAGTGGTTTTCTACTTAACAATGTACATTATCCATTTATGCATTTTAGATGCGTTTACCTTGAAATATAGTTGGGAATTAAGGTTTTGCATGAAGCTAAATTAATCTTTAACTGTCTTGCACAAGGTGAGAGTATTTTCTTTATTAAAATATTATTTTACTTTTATTAGTGCTTCTAACTCCCTGTTGTCTCAGCCTGTGCTGCAAGCGCAGCATGTTTTCAAACCAGCTTTACTAGTTATTAAAAAAAAAAAAAAAGATTTCATAGATAAATAAAATGCTATCTTGTTTCAGTTTTCTGTGCGGCTGTATCTGTGGGGTGCTGTTTGTAAAATTACACCTGCAAAAATTAACAGCAATATTTTGGTTTATTTAGCCTTTAATAATTAAAAAAAACTTTTTTTTTCAAAGTCATATTTTCACAATGTTATTCATATGTTTATAAATGTTATAATTCCAAACTAAATATTTAATTTACAAACTTAATACCTCACTTGTAAGTTAAATATTTAGTTGGTAAACTAAATATTTGGTTTAAGAATTAAATGTTTAGCTTAGAAATTAAATATTTAATCTACACCTAAATATTTAGTTTACTAACTAAATATTTAACTTGCAAGTTAATATTTAGTTAGTGAACTAAATATTTAGGTGTAAATTAAACATTTAATTTCTAAGCTAAATATTTAATTTCTAAACTAAACAGTCAATTTCCAAAATAAATATTTAATTTACTAACTAAATATTTAAATTGCAAGCTAAATATTTAACTTGCAAGTTAAATATTTAGTTAGAAAATTAAATATTCAGTTTAGGAATTAAATGTTTGGCTTAAAAATTAAATGTTTACCTCAGAAATTAAATATTTAGTTTGGAAATTAAGTATATAGTTTACACCTAAATATTTAGTTCAGTAACTAAATATTTAACTTGCAAATTAAATATTTAAGTTAGTAAACTAAATATTTAGCTTGTAAATTAAATATTTAGTTTAGAACTATGACATTAATAAATCTATGAATGGCATGGTGAAAATGTGACTTTTAAAAAACTATTTTTCATTAAAGACTAAATAAACCAAAATATTGCTGTTAAATTCGGACAGTGTAACTTTACAAACGGTGCCTCATATGTAGCTACTGTTAGTGTTTTTAGTTGTGTTGTGTGTTTGATCTTGTGTGTACTGCCAGTCAGATGTGTGTTTAATGTTTGTCTGCTTGTTCTTGTAGTTACCGGGATGACCCCGCTGGTCCGACGGCGGGTCTGGCGGAGCCAGTGCCGTGCGATGGCATGCCAGCGGTGAGTGGGGCGGCGGGGGGGAGGGGGTTCATTAGAGGGCGCGGGGCTTTCGGGACATGGTTGCCCCGCCGATGCCTCCTCTCCTTTTTCCTGCTGTGTTGCAAAACAACAAGCACAACAAGGTATTTATTGGGAAACAGCAGGGAGCAGCAGCAACATACAGTCAGCACAAAATCATGATGCTCATAAATCATCTTCCACTTTCTGATGCAGGGGTTGAGCAGGTCTTCTGGACGCCATAAATATAGACACGTTGTCCTGTTTCATTGCAGCTTTTCTGATCCGGTGTCACCAGGATGCTCGTTAAATCGGAGTGCATGGACAGGTTGTAGGCAGGAAGCATAAACTGTTACCAAAACTATAAACCATCACTTTAAAGCTGGAATCGGTCCAAGCTGCTCTGCAGGCTGGTTCCATCAACATGTGTTGTAACTAGAACACCCCCCTAAAGATGATCTGAGGTGTATTTATTGTTATTATTATCATTATTTCATTTTATCAAGTACAATATCGCATTTGTCTAAATGGAGGGTGGGACTTAAAAATTGTACTGGAGCCAGCTACTGGGAGGAGTTTGTCCTGTTTGGCTGCAGCTTCTGGCTTCATTCCTGTCTTTATAACAAATATTGATGGTAACAGATTGTATGTGTGTGTGTGTGTGTGGGGGGGGGGGGGGGGGGGGCGCGAAAGACCCCAATGTTTAAGGAGTGGTGGTAGTTCACGCAGCAACGCTCTTGGTGAGTTCTCAGCACGAGAAGAGAGGGGAGCTTGTGGAGT